TCAGCGCCACAACAACTGGCGAGGAACCGAGCAAGCAAGGAAATACATCAGCGAACTGCTCAACAAGGACGGCATCCACTAACGGCGACCGGGAAAAGGCGTGGGAAAGCGGACTCCAAGGCCTAAACTGGAATCCCGCTGGATCCGCCGGCCCCGCCGGCCGCCCGTCGCGCGCCCACTGTGCGGTTATAGGTCCCCCTGTTGTGTCGACCACCCCCCCCGCACCCCGAGGCCTCTCCAGATAGGCCGGGCGCCGTAACTGTGTCTCGCATCGTGGCTAGTATGGAGGTAATTTTCCCTCAGCCTGACTCTTGACTAGGGTATCGCTTCGTCGCGTTCATGGCCAGTAAGAAATATATAGATCCAACGCCTACCCTAGTTCCTTACCAAACTGAGGCTTTGCGTTGTGCTCGGCACTATGTGTTTCTGGTTTTTGGGTGACGATGATCCACGCCGCTTCGGCGCTTCGGCTACTTCAACTTGCACTTCAACGTACTGCGTTCAAACGCGGCCGTTTGTGGTGCTCCATCGCGCGCTCGTTCTTCCGCGGCCATGCAGGGCCTGCTGGCGGGCGCGACGCCCGCGGGCGGCGCGCCTCCGGGTGGCCAGGCGGGCTCGCCTCGGCCGACGGGAGGGGGTGGGGTTCGGGTGACACCTGCGACTAAGCGCCTGCGGACAGGGGTTATGAAAATTCGTGAAGCAACTGTGGATCAATTGACAGCAGCGTTTTTAACGGAATGTTTAGCAGCCCAGGGCGGTTCAAATGTGATTGAGACGACCCTCAGGCCGGAGGCTCTGCGGGATGCGTTGGGGCATGCACGTGCGGAGAAGGAACGGATGCAGCAGGAGCTGCAGCGCCTGCGAGCGCGTGTGGCTCAGCTCCAGGGGGATGGTTCGGATCTTGGCCCTCGCCATACGCAGGCCAGCGGGTGATCCGCTCGGTGCTCTGGTGCTCTGCGAGCGCCGAGGACGCGGTCCGGCCCATGGGCTGCTACGCGACGCCCAGCGCCGAGATCCTGAGGTCCGCTCCTGAGGTCCACCATTGATCCGCCTCGCGAAATACGATAGAAGATACCTCGGAAGTAGTATGTAAGCTCAACTATATACTACTGCGACGCGACTCATGCCGCTGACTCATGCCACCGTCTTGCCACCGTCTTGCCACCGTCCAAGGTCACCAGAGCCATTCCGAGCGCGCATCGACGAGCTTCGAGTGGCTAGTGACGAGGGGCATCGTGCCAAAAAGTCTGGCGAATGTGGCAATGCAGTCCCCACGAGTTTCGACATGATCAACACCCGATGATATTCCGGCATGTCGACCAAATGAGAGAATCGACTGTCCATAGTCTGAGTAAGGCGCACGAAACCAGAGGGGTGGAGCTCTTGTAGCGTTGGCGACGATAAACGACATCAGAAGGTCCTCGCAGTTGCGGCGCGAGTCGACATGTTCGCGGGCTGATACCAATGCCGGGCTTCGGCTGCTAAAGGCATCGAGGTAGTCTCTATGAAGAATACAGACCTTGGTAAGCACCAGGGAATAGGCCCCATTCCACCAGACATGCCACCACCTCAAGTAGCGCCAGCCTCCGTTTGCATTTGTATCACGTGACACAAGCCGAGGTGCCACCCCTACCATTTGCCTGGGCGCAGATGCCCAGATGTCTATCATATTTTGAAGAACTTCGCACGATACAATTAAGTCGTCGTCAACAGAGAAGATCGCATCTGTCGCTGGAGTTTCTAAGAGTTTGAACCGATTATTCAGGGAGTCTACGTCAAAGAGCTCAACACGAACTGCAACTTCATCCGCGGTTGGCGACCGGTCCGCACGTAGGACCAACCATTCCGGTGGTGCTAGCTCCGCGTCTGACCATATCACAACAATCTCTCGAGCGGCCCCACATCGCTCATAATGTTTAACAAACCGATCCAATAAGTCATTGCGTCGGAAAGTGTTCACCCGCACCGAGCATCCCACTGATGCCACGCGCCGCAGGTGCCCACCTGGCGGGGTGTCGCTTGACACCACGCTGAATTGGACACGACAGAATGACACGAGCAGTGTGGATAGACTCAGTGTGGCCGCGATGAAGCCCAGCGCTCGTGCACTGCTCACAAGCATTGTCGAAGTGCTATACCCCCTGACACTTTTCTCCCGACACGGTACGGGCATCCCTTGCTAAGTCTACTGCGGACCACGCTCGTGGGAGCCGGGCGGTCCGATTCACCCCCGGCGACCTGTGTTTTGGGCGGATGTTACACATCCAGCCTAAAACTCGGGCTGCGTCGCGCGCGCGGACGAGCCCTTTTGCCAAGCCCTGGACACCCCGTCGGGGCGGCCCTCCGCCGTAAGAACGGCGGAAATCGACTCGGGCGGCGCGTCGATCTCGTCGCCAAAAGACGCGATTCGGGGCCGATTTTTGCTCGGGACGACTTTTCGACCCCCTGGGGCTGCCCGCCGCGCGCGGCGGCGGCGCCAAACTCTGCTCGGGGTACCCCGACAGCATCGGGAAGCTCTCAAGCGGAGCAAACGACGCCGTTCGCGCCGAGACCGGCCGGGGGGGACTCGGGATTGCCCGAACCCCCGAAACGCGTCCACTCGAGTTCGCATCGATGACGGCGGTTCCATCGATCCCTGGCGGCTGCGGAGGCCGTCACCATCCACACCAAGACCTGCGAAGCTCTGGCTGCGACTCGGAGTCCCATCCAGGTCCCGCGCCACGTTGGCGTGCTCGGGCCGTTTTCGGCCCCGAGAGGCCATTTTTTCGTCGACGAGAAAACGCTGCGATTGTGCCATTTTTTTGTCTGGGCCACCGAGTATGGTCATGGGGAGACGCGCGCGGGCCTTGAAAGCGCGAAAAACGACTCAAAAGTCGTCGCGTAAGGGCCAGTCCGGGGCTTGAAATCCGCCTCGAAAACCCTTAAATACATCCCGAAACGCGCCAAAATGATCGAGCCCACACTAGCTGCGCTGCGTCAACCTGGGCCTGACCTAGGGCTCCCGCCTAACATATCCCGCCGGCGGGATATGCTAAACGCCGCTTCAACATCTCAGGGGCAGCACGAGTATGTTCTGTGACATGCCACGTACGTCGGTGCTCTTACGTACACCCTAAGGGCCTCCGTAGGTCTTAGGTAATTCCGGTAATGCTCGGCCCTAGGAACTCCACTCAGCCTAAGATTGTAAATTTAAGGTAATCTCGGCGAGCTCTTGAGATCCAGCTAAAAAAATACTAAGTAACATCCCTAGTCCGGGGGTCGGGCGACCGGCTAGAGTTCACTGGGCATGGTTTTCTGGTAATCTCGACGGTAATGGAAGCCCAACCGGGCGGCGGGAGGGTTATAAGGTTGGTCGCGGAAGGGCTCGACCCCATCTCCCTGCCAGGCCTCGTCGCTGGGAATTCCATTCAAGTTCCGACCTCGAGTCCCAATGATTTCAGTCATCTAATAGATTTAAAGACAGGCACTGAAATACCCAAAGCAGCTCTTCAGCAGGAAAAGCATGTGCTCAAGCAGTGCGCGAAACAAATATTCTAAGCGAATTTTCCCACGTCCGTTGGACGTCCGTTGGACGCCCGTTGGACGTCCGTTGGACCCCCGCGCGCGCGGTGGACGGAGGACCTCTATGAGGACCTCTAGCCGGGCGACCACAGCTTAATAATTAATAATTCCTATGGCGCGCGCCAGCCCTATGGTTGTTTCGCGCACTGTGCTCAAGTACTGCCAGGTTCTGGCAAAGACAGGAAACTCAGCACTTCTGTCCGGCGGACGCGGTGGTCCGGACGCGGCCCGGACGTGCCCCGGACGGGCCCCGGACGCGGCCGGACCAGTCCCAGACGGGCGCCGGACGCCGCCGGACGCCGCCGGACGCAGATTGAAGTTTCCCGGGCGCCGCCGGACGCAATTGAAGTTTCCCGGACGCCGCCGGACGCAAGTTGAAGTCTCCCGGACGCCGCCGGACGCCGCCGGACGCCGCCGGACGCGCGCCGGACGCCGCCGGACGCGCGCCGGACGCCGCCGGACGCCGACTCAGGACCTGAGCCGGACGCCGCCGGACGTCGCCGGACGCCGCCGGACGCCGCCGGACGCCGGCGCCGGACGCGAGTCCGGACGCGGCCGGACGCCGACGCCGGACTTCCGGACGCAAAGTTCCGAACCGGCCCCTACACCTACCCGACGGACGCCTCGACGCAGCGGGTTCGTGCTCGGCGGAACCACTGACATGTTCAATGATCGGATTTATTCAACAAAAGCGCCTGCCGCGGCGTTGCCGAGCGATAAAATAAGCGTGTCTCACGGTCTGGACGTCGTCGCGGGGCAGCGGCTCCCGGGTCGGGTCCTGAGCGTCGTTCTGGCGCATTAAACCATGACGAGCGTGACCTCCGTCGCCCGCCGCATCCGATGGTACAATTTATCTGCGCCGGAACCACCCCCGAGCGGCGAAAACTTAACGGCCGCGGGCGCAGAGGCCCTGGGGCTGGAAAGGCAACGATGGGAGACGATTGGGCGCACTAACTTGCGATGGACCCGACGCAATGGTGGTATGGAATGGATCGAGACCATCCCTTGGGGTAGGGGCAGCGTCACACGCCCCACGGCCACCGTCGAGACGACGCGGCGCAGGAGCTCGACTCCATGAAATCGATGATTTCGGACTATCTCGACGAGCCCGCCGCGCCGAAGGCGATGGGGTTGATGAGGAACGATCACAGCTGCTGCCATGGCTCGAACTCGGAGGACGAGGGGTCGCGAGGGGGCAGCGCGTCCCTCCCCACCCACTCTACCTCCCTGTTCCAGTCCCCACGCGGTCGTATGAGCGTCGCGTTTTCGCACGTGCCTCAACCTTGTCCTTGCGGACCTCGCAGCCGCTGGGATCGTTGCACAATTCGGCATATTCGCGGAGCGGTGGGCACTCAAAGACGGCCATCCCATCGCAGCGCGCCTCAAAGCGCATCAACTTAGCTAGCCCGAGAGCCATTCGTTTGATTGAATGTCGTCGATCATCGTTCAAGCACCAACGTAGCTTTGTCAAGATTCTTGAAAACCCCGGGGCTTGTCGTCCGCCGAGCACGAAAGCGGGCCGCGCCCCTCTCTGGCACGTCGCTGTGACGGTAACCAGACAGACACCACAGACACAGAAGAGCGCTATGCTCTCCTGCCCCTGCTGGCTGTACACGCAAGGCCAAAAACAACCATAGGGCTGGGCGCGCCCATAGAAGTACTTATTTATTATTTCTGGCCACCGGCCGTCATATGTCATAGAGGTCCTCCGTCGACCGCGCACGCGCGGGTCGACCACCGGAGTGAAATCGAGGCAAAATTGTTGAATTATCCCCCTCGCCACGCTAAAGCATCGAGCTAACGCGTTATTCGCATCGATTGGGACATTTGAAGAGCGTGGGGTCGCCGGTTCGGGTCGGAAGTCGTGCTTGTATGTTCAACCAAGCGCTTGCTTTGCGGACGCTGCGAGAGCGCGCACCAAGCACGCAAGTGCCAGACTGAAGCTGGGTGTCGTAGGTGCACCAGGTGTGTTAACCTTGACCACAAGTGCTGCTTTCGGGACTGCACGTGCCCCAAGTGCAGGCTCCTCGAGCCCGCTCGTCGGTGCACGTGCCCGCTGTGCGGCGGCGCTCCTTACACAGACGCCGAGTCGCCCAGGCGGCGTCCGCCAAGGGGGAAGGCTCCACAGGCCTCTCCTGGAGTGCGGGCCATGGTCGGCCGGGGTGCCGCAGCTGCGACTGCGATGCAGGGGACGATCGCGAACCTTCGGGCCAGTCTCGCTGCGGCCAACGAGGCCGCAAGGTCAGCGGAAAGTGACCTAGAAAGCGAGAGAGAGGCACACAGGCAGCTTAATAGGGCGGCCCGAGCGCCGCGACGGCCCAAACACGTACTGGAACGGCCTCCCAGGTGTACCCCCACCGGGAGCAACGTGCTTCCGGAACCGAAAGCGGGTCCTGCCCACACCCCAGGGACCCCATGGGCCCGACGGACGCAAAGAGGGCCCCAGGGGGGACGCCACAGAATTAATCTCAGGAACCCCGGGGGGTAGATCGCGAACGGAGCCTGGGTTCGGTCCTGGGGTGGTCTCTGGCGTCTTTTTTTTCGCGTCCCGGCCGCGTCCCGCGTCTCCGGCGCGTCTCGGCCGCGTCCCGGGGCGTCTTGGCCGCGTCCTGCCGCGTCCCGGAACTCGCGTCTCCCGCGTCTCGGCCGCGTCTGCAAGACGCAACGTTGCCTAGGGGCCCCTATGAGGTGTCCTATAAAGGCTCCCGTGCCCGCCTGCGGGCGCAGATACGCGCCGTGTGCCAGCGAGCAGAAGTTAGCTCGCCAATTGTCACGCTAGCGTCTGTCACGCTAGCTGTCGATTGTGCCCAAAAATCCTACGCATGAATTTCCCGGAGGAGGAAGAGGCCATTTTGGCGTACTGGAAGCGGATCGACGCGTTTCAGACGAGCGTGAAGCTCAGCTCGGGAAAACCAGAGTACACATTCTATGACGGACCACCTTTTGCCACTGGATTGCCTCACTACGGGCACATTCTCGCCGGTACGATAAAGGACACTGTGACTCGGTATGCGCATCAAACCGGGCACCGGGTATCGCGTCGATTCGGGTGGGACTGTCATGGATTGCCGGTGGAGTACGAAATTGACAAGGCTCTAGGACTGAGCTCTCGGGATGAGGTTTTGGCCATGGGAATCGGTACCTACAACTCGCATTGTAGGAGCATCGTCCAGCGATATACGGGCGAATGGGAGACCGTAGTGACGAGGCTTGGTCGATGGATCGATTTCAAAAATGACTACCGAACGATGGATGTCAACTTCATGGAGTCAGTATGGTGGGTCTTCAAGACATTATTCGACAAGGGCCTCGTGTACAGGGGATATAAGGTCATGCCATATTCAACTGCGTGTGCAACACCTCTATCAAACTTCGAGGCCGGTCTGAACTATAAAGATGTGTCAGATCCTGCCGTTGTCGTGTCTTTCCCACTTGTTGACGAGCCAGCAACGAGTCTCGTGGCATGGACGACGACACCGTGGACCCTGCCATCGAACCTTGCGCTTTGTATCAACGAGCAATTGACCTACGTAAAGGTCCGTGCTGTTTCGGAGCAAAAGGTATACATTGTTGCGGAGGCGCGGCTTGTGCAGCTTTTTCCTATACTCGGTTCCAAGAAATTCAAAAAAGGCAGCGAATCAAAAATTTATGAGATCCTAGAATCCTTTCCGGGCGCAATACTAATTGGACGTAAATACCAGCCCCTTTTCGACTTTTATGACACCGCGGAGCGGCGTGCATGTGCCTTCAAAGTTGTCGCAGACAGTTACGTGAGCAGCGACGCCGGCACAGGTATCGTACACCAAGCACCCGCCTTCGGTGAAGATGACTATCGTGTTTGCGTCGAGCACGGCGTGATTGACGTCAAGAAAGGTGGTGAAGACAGCCTCCCTTGTCCAGTAGACGCCAATGGCCGCTTCACCTTGCCCGTAAGTGCGGAGCTCCTGGGCGTGCACGTCAAATCCGCCGACGCGGCCATCTGCGCATCTCTCAAGGAGAAGGGACGTCTTGTGGTCAAAGAGGCTCATGAACACAGTTACCCATTCTGCTGGCGCTCAGACACGCCCCTCATATATAAAGCTGTTCCCTCCTGGTTTGTAGCGGTGGAAGCAATTAAGGATAAGCTCATCAAGAATAACGCACAGACCTACTGGGTTCCTGCCTCTGTACGGTAGCCCGGTGTCCGAATCATGCGATCCCCGACAACGTGTCGTGAAGTGTAATAGACGTTTGTTATCGTCTTGACCTTGTTCTTTCGAGGTGCACAAACCCATGTCTTGTCAGGTCAAAGAGAAACGTTTTCACAATTGGCTGGCAGATGCCAAGGACTGGGCCATATCCCGGAACCGATTTTGGGGCACTCCAATACCGCTCTGGATTTCTGATGATTTGGCTGAGATGGTGGCCGTGGGCAGCGTTGCAGAACTACGGGCTAGGTGCAGACTCCCAGACGGGTCTGAGATCCCAGCAGATTTCTGCGACTTGCATCGTGAAAATGTGGATGATCTGTTGATTGCATCTCCGACCCGTTCAGATGTTGTACTGCGGCGCGTCGACGAAGTCTTCGATTGTTGGTTTGAATCCGGATCAATGCCTTACGCCCAACTGCATTATCCATTTGAATGCAACGAGGAGCAGTTTGCGAAGAAATTTCCAGCCGACTTTATAGCAGAGGGCCTTGACCAGACACGAGGCTGGTTCTACACGTTAATGGTAATCTCAACAGCACTATTTGACAAACCCGCCTTCAATAACCTCATTGTGAATGGTCTCGTCCTCGCCGCGGACGGCAAAAAAATGTCCAAGCGTCTCAAAAACTATCCTGATCCAACTCTTGTCGTCAATGCACACGGGGCCGACGCGCTCAGACTCTATCTCATCAATTCGCCTGTGGTCAAGGGCGAGACGCTCAAATTCATGGAGTCTGGGGTGCGCGGTGTCCTCCGTGACGTCCTTCTGCCCTGGTTCAATGCCTACTGCTTCTTTGCACAGCAGGCGGCTCGATTGGAGATGCATACTGGGACGGGACTAATGCGAGACGAACGCTGTGCCAGAGCTTCCACGAACGTTATGGACATATGGATCACTGCGAATCTCGAGGGCCTCGTTAAATTCGTCCATGAAGAAATGAAAGCTTATCGCCTCTACACTGTCGTACCACGGAACTGTGCCAGAGTCCCGTATCCAAATAGCATTCGGCGCCCAGTGTACCCTCATCCTCCCAAAAGACATGGACCCGGTACAAATTCCAATATCTGAGTGGGGGGGGGGGGGGGACAGAGACTGAATGACACACGATTCACAGCAGACTTTGCTTTGTTTTGTCTTTGACTCAAGCCGACGCGCTTCGCGATTCATCTTATCTTCTTAGGCTTGTTAGCTTCCTGGGAGACTTGACAAATTGGTACGTGCGCCTCAACCGATCTCGGCTAAAGGGTGCAGATGGCGAGGGTTCCACATGCGTCTCTTTGGCCGTTCTCTACGAGGTCCTTCTCAAAATGGCGGTTGTTATGGCTCCATTCACTCCGTTCTTTGCAGAGTATCTCTATCAGCAATTGCGAAAACGGCTAATTGCCTTTACTAGCGTGAGCGCGGCACCGGATACAGTTGGCAAGGCTGACAGTGTCCATTATGTCATGCTCCCACAAGCTGACAGCTCGAAGCTTGATGATGGCGTCGTCATGGGAATGAATCTACTGCAGCGTGTTGTTGAGCTTGGCCGCCGCGCACGCGAAGCTGCCAATATTTCGATGAAAACGCCTGTCAAGGAAGTGATGGTGGTCTGTGGTGACGTTAGAGCCCTCTCTGCAATTCAGGGACAACTTGAGTCGTACGTCCTTGAGGAGCTCAATGCCTGGGGCGTTTCGTTTACAAGCGACGTCGATACATGGTGCTCAGTTTCTGCCCTACCCAACTTACCTATCCTTGCAAAGCGACTCGGTAAGAAGATGAGCATTGCAACCGCCATCATAAAGAATCTTGACTCAACTGCGCTCCGTAACTACAGCAAGGTTGGTGAGCTCAACATTGATGTGGATGGGCTATCTCTCCAGCTTGTTGCCGGCGACCTCATCGTCAAATCTACCTTCGCCGGGGATGAGACGAAGTACGCGGCTATGACCACGCTAGATGGTGCCCTCACTGTTGCCATAAGTACGGTACAGGATGACACTCTTCGTCGGCAAGCGATTGCTCGCGACGTCTGCAACCGCGTCAATAAGCTCCGTAAAAAGGCCAAGCTCAATATTGCTGACAAGGTCGATGTTTTTTTTGCTGATCTCGACCCGGCAGAAAATACCGATGGCTTTATTTCTACCGCCGCAGCTCTCGCTTGCAACAAACCTCTTCTTGATAAAGCCAAGATCGTTCCAATACCATATGCGAACTGCTGTGGACAGGTGATCATCAGCGACACTAGTGGCACCGCCTTTGGATCGAAGTGTCTTAAGATTGCCCTTGCTGCACCTGCACTTTCACTATCGCCCACAATCAAGAAAAGGCACGAGGAGGATGCTGTCATTCAAACTCTGATTGCCTCCTGCGCGCTCCACAGAAAGGAATCTCTTCAAGGGACTTTATCTGGCACGGCGTTCAACCTTGACGTCGGTGCCGATATCTTTTCAAGCGCGACTGCCGCTTACCTTGCCATGTAGCCACGGTGCATGCTGTGGTATCAAGACAAGCAAGTTCACATGTTCACAAGTCTCAGCTTTTGCAGTAGTCATCCAAACAAGAATTATCATGACGAGCGTTTGCGAATGACTTACCCGCTACCTCCTAGGTATCCTAAATGGGATTTTGTCAGACGGACCAACTGGTGACTCCCAGATCATTCCCCGTCGGCCCTGACCTACGGGGTCACACGGCCCGTTCAGCCCCCCGCCGCGTGCGCCTTCGTATCCACAGGCCCCATTCCCTAACTAAGACCAGACTAAGACCCCCAGTTTCCCCCGATCATCATATGATATGCTGAGTCGCGACGGGGATCTAAGAGCCATCTGCGCCTACTTTTCGTGATTGTCCTAGTGTCGATGCTTATGTTAGGGGCTGCAGGCCCGCGTTGCTCAGGCCACAGCCCTTCGTGCACGGCGACATTAGTGTCGTTCATCCGCATATCAAAGGTATCTGCTTTAAAGTTACATATGACCGTGTAGTACACTACTTCCACTCTCCGATGCGTAGCGAAATAGTAGACCGGGGGGCAATACCATTCAAGGTCGAAGTTGGAGCGAGCTTCTGTCCGAACGGCTTTGCGATTTTTATTGCAGAGATATTTTTGAACGAGTGGCTGTGGGGCGTCGCCCCACGTGTTTTATGATCGACTAATCGAATTTGGTTGATCCGTCTCACGAAATCCCATTTAGGATACCTCGGAGGTAGTACAGCCATGTTGAAGTTATTTGTGGCCGCCAGAAGCCGCCACAAGGCAGTGTGTGGGCCGCAGGGCTTCATGAGGAGTCAGGAGAACGGATGGAGCTGCTTCTCCGGTGATGTTGGTCGCCATAACGGCCCGGTAAGTTGGTTTTATGTTGATCCTCAACCAAAATCTGATCAGCCTGAGCCGGCGCGCTGGGTGCCATTTAAACGCTAAGTGACGCGATCGACGTCGAATCGTACGCGGAAAGTACCCATAGGCGCGTCCGTGATGTGTTTGAGGCGGACGTCGTCCAAGTTCGGCGGTGGAATCGGCTCCGGCCGCGCGGTCGTCGCGCGACGCGCGCGGCGCGCGAGCGCCCGAAACCTCACGGGAGGCGTAACTCCGGGAGAAGTAGACGAATCTTGACGGGGACTTTGGCGCCGGGGAACGTGACAGGACCGCCTGCGTGTACAATCGAAGCCTCGGCCCTCGTCGTCGTGTACAAAAATGTGCAGAGATCCCCGGGTTGGGCGTTGAAGGCAACTTTCCGGGCTCTTGGAGACGCTCTCCGCTTGCCGTTGTTGATAGGTCGTGCGGCAAGAGTCTGCGACGCCGACTCTTCAGAAGGTTTGTCAGTGGCGTTGTAATTTTAAGGCCTGCCAGCCACACGACGTATCAACCACGGCAAGACGCCTGCGACAGACTGTGAGGCTGTCGAGACGGGTTCGGACAGCCTCGCCCTGGCGTCGCAACCCGCTCTGAAGCTCTGGCGAGGCCCTGCCGCGTCTCCGCTGCCGGGCACGCGGCCACGGCGAGGTTTTCTGCGTCGCCCCGTGCTGCGGAACCGGTCGCGCTGCGAGATTGTGTGCGGAGACGTCGGTTTTGCGTTGGAGAGTCGGGGTGCGACGAGCCAGATGTCTCCGAGTTGATCGGGCGGGTGGTCGAAGCTGTCTAAGGCGTTGCCGGTACGAAGCGGCGTGCCGACGAGGCCCTGGGTCCGAATTTCTTCGAGATCACCCGATAAAGTCCCGAAAACGCCTTGTCATGGGCTGTCGCGGAGCGAGCACCTCAAACCGATCGACGCCGCTGCGTCCGGCAGGCTGTATCATCACCACGGACCACATCTGCAGCGTCACTGTCCTCGCGCACAAGCTTAAGACGCCCGTAACGCACCGAACCCGTTCGCGGCTCGCTGCGGCCATGCGCGCTACCGCGGCCACCACCGCACGCCATGGGCATATCGGGACGTTCGAGTGGCGTGGCCCATCTCGCACTGTCCGTGTGCGACTCCTCGGCCGCTTAAAGCGCGTAAAACGAGCGGGAGTGTCGCGCTCAAAGTTAAATGTCCGGTATTGTTCCTACTGATCTAATTTTGGTTGTCCTTTGCAAATGAAGCGCACAGTAGGCTAGTCGGGACTAGTAGTATCCGCTAGTAGTATCCTGGTAGTATCCTGGGGTAACTTGGGCGGGTAACTTGAAGGTAGGGGGCCCTACTGGTACGTCTGGCGCCACAGACTCAGCGGAACTACGCTGCGGGCGAGTGCAGCGTGAAGAGCGAGGGGACGTGGGCAAGGTGGCGAGTGGTCGGGCGGCCGTGGGGGCAATTCCAGGGCTGCAGGAGGGTTGCGAGGTGGTCGAGCAGCTGGGTCATCTTTGTTTTGATGAGCGGAGTGCCGATCATCACAGCGGCGCGACATGCTTTGGATGCAAAGAGCGTGTGGAGCTTGGGGAGCTTGGGTAGTGTCGTGTCATGGGCGGCGTCATCGTCGAGAAGGGTGATGAGCTCGCGGATGTCCGACACACCAAAAGTTGCGCCTCGTGCACTCGGGACCGAGATGACGGCGACGCGTCGTCCCGGGGGTGCGAGGTCATTGACGGCGAGGCGGAAGCCAACGCGTTCCACGGTGCATCGGCGCTCAAGAAGCGCTAGCTCCTCCGTGGCACCGAGGTCGAGGCTGAGGGGTGCCAGGAGTGGCTGTGTGTCAACGCGAGTGTCGCGCCAGAGCGCCTCATAGCGGAATTTTTCGTCCGCTGCGTGTTGATCGACGAGGAACAGGTGATCGCCGAGGCGACACACGAGAAAGCCAAGATTAAATTGACCGAGCGCCTCCATGGCACTGAAATCGGTCTTGGCTAGCGCTGCGGTTGGCACGTTGCCGCCCGGACGTCGATCAATCTGTACGGTCCGGTGGCCATGGCCACAGCGCGACTGCACCGCGAGGGTGCCGAATACCGAAGAAGCGTGCAGCCGCGCTGGTGCCACGGCGCAGTTCCAATCAATGTGAGCTCTTGCGGCCTGCCATGGGGAAAGCGCTATGACTTGCGCGACCGCGATCGTGTCGCTGTTGCGTTGCGTCGGGCGCAGCGTTGGTGGTACAACGAGCATTGCTTCCCTCGCAGGAGCATTTGTGGCAGTGGCAGTGCTGGTAACACATGATGGGACCGCAATGGGGAGCACCAAGGAGCAGGGGGCTTCCGTATCGGGCGTGGTACTCGGCGCGACGTGCGGTGCGAGGGACCTGCCACCTGCAAAGCTCCCGCGCGATGGCTCCCAGAGGTCATGGAGAGCGATACGCAGTGCGGCAACAAGCCTGCGCGGGCGTGGTCGTGTCGCTCGTGAAATGTCAGTCGTGTCACTACGTCCGCATCGAATTTCCTGTCTCAGCTCACAACATGAAGGACGACGAACAAATTTGAAGTAGCCGGTAAGGGCACCGCGCCGCGCCCAGTTTCGTCGTCCAGAACGACATCACGCTTGTCTGGGGAAACGTTGACGTCTACGGCGCTTGGAGGGACGCGAATGTCAAGGACGAAGGCTGGACGACCGCGCCGATCGCCCTCGACACTCCGCCACACATCGCCGATGCACCGAGACACGCGAGGTGCGTCAATGGGCCTTCCGTTGACAAAGAGGAACTGGCGATCACCCCCGCCGCCTCTCGGCCCTGGCGCATCGAAGCCACCAGCACGCGACATGAGGCCAATGACAGCCAAGGAGCAGTCCTCACCTCCCCTAAGATCGAAGCTGACCTCCTCGAGCGATCGGGCGAACGCGTGTCCAAAGAGCGCTGAAGCGCTCTCGCGCAGCGACCTCGGCGCTTGCACGGCGATTGCTGTCCGCCGCGTGGCGCCACCGCCGCTGACGAGGGTGAGTCGCAGGCGGCAACCTAAGCGCGGCCAGTTTTTGCGCTCACCAGTGCACGAGCCCAGCGGAGAATGTCGCACTTGCGTCGACGGAGCAGGGCCATCGCTGGCAGGCAAGACGATCTCGCCTCTGTCGAGTCCATCCGATGCGAAATAGACGCTGCCGGGGACCAACGGCGACGAGCGCGTGCGCTTGGACCTGTGATAGATAACAGCTCGAGCATGACTGGGAAATTAAGTCTCGACGGAGCGTCGTGGCTCGATAGCTTAGGGAATTAAGCGTCTTTTGGTGAGCCGAACTTATCGCACAATCGAGCTCTGAGACCGCGAAGTCGAGCATTCTGAGAAGGGGAAAATTTGTACCCCGGAGCGGACTGTGCGGAGTGCGCGACTAACGTGCCACTTCCAGCGCCGCGCCTGCGCGACAAAGGGTCTAGGCTGCCCTGCGGTTGCGAATTTCGCAGCTCCACGCAAGATCAGCGCGACGAACAGGAGCACAATCGAAGAGCCCGCGCACCGTGACAGTCGTGCCGACCTGAGGCAAGCGTCGCGTTTGCGCGGCGCACAGGTCCCGTAGTTCCGGTCCGAATATCCGCGCGCCGAGAGATCGGCAGATGGAATTCAGTTGATTTCGTTTGCTCGAATTTCGTTTGCTGCGCGGTCACCGACACTTCGTGCGTGCCTGCAGACACCAGTTGGACAAGATGGGCACCAATGAGACCCGCCCCACCCCCGGTATGCGGCGAAAACGGTTACGTCTCAAATGACGAGTGTGGACAAATAATGCTTCCCGACTTCGCTCACGATAGATAAGGAGCCCCCCCCCCCCCTCGAGGTCAGTGGCGGAGGTTCAAGCCGAAGGAGATTCATGCGGGCACAGGCACACGCGGAGTTGAGCTCTTAAGGATACCGTCCCGCTGGAAGCTCAGACGCGCGCCCACGGCGTCGGCAGACGTTCGCGTGACGACGAGGACTTCCCCCGCGAGCCTACACGATGCGCACGAGAGTCTCCGGCAATCAACTTCACGAGAAGTTTCGACGGTTGAGATTCAGTTCAGCTGCGGCCCCAGGCCAGGGTGGTCCAAGCGAGACTCGCCGGCGATGTCAAGGGGGGACAGCCAGTCGTCATGTGAAGTGCGGCAAGCCAGGCTTAGGACTTCGCCAGACGAAGGTTGCCGGGCGAGACCAGTCCAACTAATGCGCTCTGAAGCTATTGATTGAATGTGTGCAAAGTCTAGGACCTCGCACCGGGTGAGCCAGGGATACTCGGAGAGCCATCAATCGAGAGGATCGTGCGGGGATCTCTGGCTCCGTTCGCGATCGACCCCCAAGTGGAGTGATCCTACTTGTTAGGCACTTTGACCAGGGCGCGGTGCACGTACTCGCGCAGAGAAGCGAGCGCCTCGCCACGAAATCCAAAACTCTGCACAGTCCGTAATTCCTCAAAGTTAACCAACTTTGACGTCGCCGACCGCGCGGCGACGAGAGCAAAGTCGCGCGGCGCTATACCTGAGCACAAATCAGATCTTCAAAATTGAATTACAATGTAATTTCATTCAAATTTTTGGGCGGGGTCTTCATGTATTCTTCGTCGTCATGTATTCTTCGAAGATCGCAACGGGATATCGGGTTCCCAAGATCAACGACGAGGATGAAACCACAAGTCAAAAACAGATTTTGACTTGGCTGCGTTGGCGCAGCTCGCTGATGGATTCCACGCGGTGCGCGATACCATGCCCATTATCCGCGCACTCAATCTCTGCGCCCCCCCCGTCATCGTTGATCCGCAACTCGATCGACGTCGCACCGGCATCCAGGGCATTTTCCAGGAGCTCCTTCACCGCGCCAGCGAGATCCACTACAACCTGCCCAGAGCTCAGTTTCCTCGCAGATGCGGTGTCTATCTTCGCAATGTTAGTCAACATAGGTTGCAGCGAAATGACGAGCGTGATGCGTTAATCTGCGGCGTGATCTATCGTAGATAATTGTGCAATTTCAACATCGTTTTCATTGGGACGCGACTGACTAAACTACGCGACGCTTCTCTCAGAGTCTTCTTCTTGCCATCAAAGCGGGGTTTGCTCCGAGGGGGTTGACCGCCGGTATGCCTGGTAGTATGCGCCCGCTATGCGCTATGCGGGCTTTATGCGGGCTTTATGCGGGCTTTATGCGGGCTTTATGCGGGTGGTATGCGGGTGGTATGCGGGTGGTATGCTGGTGGTATGCTGGTGGTATGCGGGTGGTATGCGTCTGCTATGCCGGTGGTATGCGGCTGCTATGCCGGTGGTATGCGGCTGCTATGCCGGTGGTATGCGGCTGCTACGCTGGTGGTATGCTGGTGGGCTGCTATGCTGGTCTTATGCGCCTGCTATGCTGGTGGTATGCGGCTGCTATGCTGGTCTTATGCGGCTGCTATGCTGGTGGTATGCGCCTGCTATGCGCCTGCTATGCGTCTGCTATGCGCCTGCTATGCGCCTGCTATGCGTCTGCTATGCGCCCGCTATGCGTCTGCTATGCGGCTGCTATGCGGCTGCTATGCTGGTGTATGCCGTGGCTGGTGTATGCCTGGTGGTCGGCCCCCTCTGGGTTTGCTCCGCCAGTGGCGCCGGCGGCACCCCTGCGTGCGCGGTGGGGTGGTACATCTTACCCCAGGGAAATGGCCTGCCCCAGCCGCCACACCCACGTCGCGCCCAAAATCAAGGGGCGTATCCAGCGCCATCGATGGTGGCGCGCGCCACGACCACGGACTTGCCAATGTACGCCGCGGCCGCAGCCCCGCGGAGACGAGGCCCGCGCGGTATCCAACTCAGCTGTCGTCAGATTCTGGGGCTGATGGGGGTCTTCCCCTGCCTTTAGAGGCCGTAGTTGCGCCATTTGCCGCAGTCGCCTCGCTGATCGAGGAGTCTGGGGGTTGCGGTTACTAGGACTCGGAAGTTTCAAGTCTCTCTATCTCTCTAGCCGCGACACCGCGCCCGCGCGCGCGGTCGACGTACAGCCCCTATGGACGACTAGTGACTCTGGTTCCGCCGGCCGGAATTCGATGATTGGTCTTTATTGATTAGTTCCCTATGGGCGGCCTAGATGTACGTTGATCACCTCACTGTACAACATGTCGGTTGTGTAGTAAACTGAACGCCGTCCCCACTTGAACGCGATGTTCTGGAAGCGTGTTTGCAGGGGAGATTTAGCTATGGTAAGCGGGTTAAGATCAGCCGCCGAGGCAATGCGCGAGCCCATGCCCCAGCTTCTTGCGCTTGCCGACCAGGACCGTCGCTCAGAGGAGGCACGTTTGGAGATGCTATGGGGTCATTCCGCGAAGTGCGAAGACATCGAGGCACTGAAGGCTGCGGCGCGCGGCGGCCACAGGCTAGCACAGTGCACTTTGGGGTCGATGCACGAGACGGGGACTACTGATGTGT